GACGATCGAATCTCGGGCAAGTAACATACCGATAGACAAAGGGAATTGAATACGGGATTGATTAAGTCCTTGACATCGTGGTTCATTCGATGAGATCATCGTGGAACATGTGGGAGCCATCATGGGTATCCAGATCCCGCTGTTGGTTATTGACCGGAGAACGTCTCGGTCATGTCTACATGTCTCCCGAACCCGTAGGGTCTACACACTTAAGGTTCGATGACGCTAGGGTTATAAAGGAAGTTTGTATGTGGTTACCGAATGTTGTTCGGAGTCCCGGATGAGATCCCGGACGTCACGAGGAGTTCCGGAATGGTCCGGAGGTAAAGATTTATATATGGGAAGTCCTATTTTGGCCACCGGAAAATGTTCGGGATTTTTCGGTATTGTACCGGGAAGGTTCTAGAAGGTTCCGGAGTGGGGCCCACCTGCATGGGGGGACCCACATGGACGTGGGTAGTGGGGGCAAGGCCCTACACCCCTGGTCAAGGCGCACCAAGATCCCCCCTTAGAAGGAATAAGATCATATCCCGAAGGGATAAGATCAAGATCCCTAAAAAGGGGGGATAACAATCGGTGGGGAAGGAAATAATGAGATTTCTTTCCTCCCACCTTGGCCAACGCCCCAATGGACTTGGAGGGCAAGAAACCAGCCCCTCCACCTCTATATATAGTGGGGAGGCGCATGGGAGCTATACACGAAGTTCTGGCACAGCCCTACCTCTCTTCCTACTCCTCCTCTCCCATGGTGCTTGGCGAAGCCCTGCTGGATTGCCACGCTCCTCCACCACCACCACGCCGTTGTGCTGCTGTTGGATGGAGTCTTCCTCAACCTCTCCCTCTCTCCTTGCTGGATCAAGGCGTGGGAGACGTCACCGGGCTGTACGTGTGTTGAACGCGGAGGTGCCGTCCGTTCGGCACTAGGATCATCGGTGATTTGAATCACGACGAGTATGACTCCATCAACCCCGTTCACTTGAATGCTTCCGCTTAGCGATCTACAAGGGTATGTAGATGCACTCTCTTTCTACTCGTTGCTGGTCTCTCCATAGATAGATCTTGGTGACACGTAGGAAAATTTTGAATTTCTGCTACGTTCCCCAACAAATCTTGCTGGAGGTGCTTGTTGTGAAGATGATCTTGCTGGAGGTGCTTGCTTCTTTGCCCTCTTCGCTGGATTAGGCGGTGCTCTAGAAGATGATGATACTGCATTGTTTGTCCTCTTTGGTGGTTGTGGCACCTGACAAAAATAATGAAATAATGATCAGTGCTAGTTGCAACATATATGACTGTTGAGGTTCAAAGAAAAGTAATTACCTGAGTGTTGATTTCTGATTCCTTTTGCTTCTTCTTTCTTGCTCTTTGTGCTTCTCTTTTGTAGTTATCTTTCTGCTTCTTATCTCTATTTGGATTTCCCAAACACTTTCTTTTGTTGTGATCAAAGCTCCCACAAACAGAACATGAAATTCTTATGCCTTTTTTTGAAAGCTTGTTCCCCTGAGGTTTCTCACCCTCTTCTCTTCTTCTTTTAGTCTTTTTTCTTCCTGGCATCACTCTATGAGGAGGAGGAGGAGGTTTTGGCATGTCAGCAACTGGCCAGTTCTCTTTTCCCTCCACTGGTTGCAGCACATGGTCATAAATCTTGTTGTACTCAGAGATAGAGTAGCATGGAGCAATATAATCATCTAGTTTTTTACCACATGTGTAAATTGCACTGATAGCATGAGGACAGGGAAAACCAGCCAGTTCCCAATATCTGCAAGAACATTTCCATGCCTCCAAGTTAACTGTGTACCTCCGATGCACATCTTCTTGAACTTCAAATCCTTCCTTCCCATTCCAAAGAACCTGACATAGCCCTGACCTCTTGATGTTCAGCTTCAATTTTTTGAAAACATTAGGGCAAATGGTTCCAGGCCAACTGTTAGATTTGTCTCTATTTTCCTGGATCCTTACCATGACCTTTTTCCTAATAATCTCATTTGCTGTAATAACAGGAAAGAACATTGCCTTCATTATAGCATTATTGAATGATTCACACAGATTATTCTCTACCGAGTCACACCAAGAACCAAGCTTGAAGTAGGCCCTGCTCCAATGCTCCGGTGCAGTTTTCAGGATGTCTTTAGCTCCTTCCACACTTTTTGGGCTAGTTTGGCTCTATTGTAATTAAATTGAGTAACATCAGATGATTTGGCACATGCCCAGAACATCTTTTGCAGTTTTTTGTCTCTGTGCACCTTTCTCCAGTTAGCATAAATATGCCTAGCACACATCCTATGCTCTGCTTCAGGCACAATTTCATTGACAGCCCTGATAAGACCCTGCCAAATGATATAAACATGTTCATTTGAGTAGATGTGACTACATAAAAATGGCTAGGTTCACCACCTATCTCCTCGATAAATTTATAACATGTGACTAGGTTCACCACCTACCTCCTCGACAAATTTATAACATGTGACTAGGTCCACCACCTACCTCCTCGACAATTTTATAACATGTGACTACATCAAAAAGAACAACATGAAGAATAAACGTTTGCTTGTAATGCCTTCTGTTGGTCAGATATGAAGACCCATCCATCTCCATTGTTGCTTATCTGAAGATCCTTCTGAAGAAATGACAGGAACCAGTACCATGAGTCATATGATTCAACCTCAACTGTAGCCCAAGCAATGGGGTACATCTGATTGTTGGAATCTCTGCCAATAGCACATAGTATTTGGCCTGAGACTGACCCCTTCAGAAAGCACCCATCTAGACCCACAACTCTTCTACACCCAGCTAGGAAACCCTTTTTGCAGGTATCAAGACAAATATACATTCTTTGGAAAACTGGCTTGTCAAAAATTTCAGGATCTAGAGTCACTGCCACTGTGCTTCCAGGATTGCTTCTCACTAGTTCTAAGTGGTAGTCATAGACTCTAGAATACTCACCATTAGTCAAATTAGTGAGCTTTTCCATGACTAACTTTTTTGCTCTCTTGCACTGGGACAAGCTAACATCGGCTAGAAGATCCTCAAGTACTGCCTCCTGCATATGCTCTACATGCCAAGTAGGATTATGCCTGATCTGTCTGAAATACTTTTTGGCAATGACCGTGCTTGTGACAAGCTTGTTGCCCCTCCTAGGAATACATGTGTGCTCATTTTCATACCTCACAACTAACAACCAATCAGATCTGCTACTAATTGAGCCATAGATGCTCCAAGGACAACCAGGCCAGGAACATTCTACACTGACCCTTTTCTTTTCATCTTTTGGAAATCTTAAATGGTGGAAATTTGCTAGCCCATACTTAACCAGTACCTGTTTGAATTCCCTGCTATCACGAAATGCCATGCCTAGAGCAAATTCTGGTTTGTCAGTACTGTCATCATAAACTCTGTGTGTTGTTTTCCTCCTTCTCACTTCACTTATCTCTCCATCACTACCTTCATCATATGACAAGTCGTCATCACTTTCAAAGTATGGTGTGTCTTCTCCATCTGAATCATCTAGCTTAAATGTTTCTGGGACAATATACTCTTCAGGCACATTGCATGGTTTTCCCTCCTCTTCTCTCAGCATGTTCTTTCTCACTTTGTCCTTCAATTCTTTAGCATATTTTCTCAACCCTAGCACTTCATCATCAGATGCTGAGCTATTGCTCTCTGCCGGGGGAATAGCATAGTCACTGTCAGATGAGCCATCACTTTCAGTGTGTACTTCTTCATCCTCATCTAAATGTGATTTCCCTTTGTCCTGCATTTGGCTGCTACCTCTCTTCACTGGCAATTTAGCACTGCTACTGCTAGGCTGGTAATACATATTGGAGTATTGCCAAGCTTCTGGTTCTAATATATGTTCATCTGCATTTGGATTATTTTGCTGCTCTTGTACATGTTGCTGCTGGTCCTCTCCATGAAGTTCTTGTTCCTCCTCTAAATGATGTTGATGTTCCTCTGGATACTCATCCTGTGAAAAGTCATCAGGTATGTTGGAATATATGTCCATAACACCTGCATCAGTGGCATGTTTTGCCATCTCTAACACTGATTTTTGATCATGTAACATCACCAGAGCACTACTCATTGCACCATCTCTTATTAGACCAGGAAATTTCCAATGCAGTGTACTGTTGTTTAGTGCTTTCTCTAAACATCTAACTGTTGGGGAACGTAGTAATTTCAAAAAAAATTCTACGCACACGCAAGATCATGGTGATGCATAGCAACGAGAGGGGGGAGTGTTGTCTACGTACCCTTGTAGACCGGAAGCGGAAGCATTAGCACAACGCGGTTGATGTAGTCGTACGTCTTCACGGCCCGACCGATCAAGCACCGAAACTACAACACCTCTGAGTTCTAGCACACGTTCAGCTCGATGACGATCCCCGGACTCCGATCCAGCAAAGTGTCGGGGAAGAGTTCCGTCAGCATGACGGCGTGGTGACGATCTTGATGTTCTACCGTCGCAGGGCTTCGCCTAAGCACCACTACAATATTATCAAGGATTATGGTGGAAGGGGCACCACACACGGCTAAGAGAACGATCACAAAGATCAACTTGTGTGTCTATGGGGTGCCCCCTGGCCACGTATATAAAGGAGTGGAGGAGGGGAGGGGGCGGCCCTCTCTATGGCGCGCCCTAGGGGAGTCCTACTCCCATCGGGAGTAGGATTCCCCCTTTCCTAGTAGAACTAGGAGCCCTTCCAAGTAGTAGGAGTAGGAGGGGAGGAAAGGGAAGGGAAAAGGAGAAGGAAGGAAGGGGGCGCCCCCCCTTCCCTAGTCCAATTCGGACCAGACCAAGGGGAGGGGTGCGGCCACCCTTGAGGCCCTTTTCCTTCTTTCCCGTATGGCCCAATAAGACCCAATACGTATTCCCGTAACTCTCCGGTACTCCAAAAAATACCCGAATCACTCGAACCATTCCAATGTCCGAATATAGTCGTCCAATATATCGATCTTTACGTCTCGACCATTTCGAGACTCCTTGTCATATCCCCGATCTCATCCGGGACTCCGAACTCCTTCGGTACATCAAAACTCATAAACTCATAATATAACTGTCATCGAAACCTTAAGCGTGCGGACCCTACGGGTTCGAGAACTATGTAGACATGACCGAGACACGTCTCCGGTCAATAACCAATAGCGGAACCTGGATGCTCATATTGGCTCCCACATATTCTACGAAGATCTTTATCGGTCAAACCGCATAACAACATATGTTGTTCCCTTTGTCATCGGTATGTTACTTGCCCGAGATTCGATCGTCGGTATCTCAATACCTAGTTCAATCTCGTTACCGGCAAGTCTCTTTACTCATTCCGTAATACATCATCTCGCAACTAACTCATTAGTTGCAATGCTTGCAAGGCTTTAGGTGATGTGCATTACCGAGAGGGCCTAGAGATACCTCTCCGACAATCGGAGTGACAAATCCTAATCTCGAAATATGCCAACCCAACAAGTACCTTCGGAGACACCTGTAGAGCACCTTTATAATCACCCAGTTATGTTGTGACGTTTGGTGGCACACAAAGTGTTCCTCTCGTAAACGGAAGTTGCATAACCTCATAGTCATGGGAACATGTATAAGTCATGAAGAAAGCAATAGCAACAAATTTAACGATCAAGTGCTATGCTAACGGAATGGGTCAAGTCAATCACATCATTCTCCTAATGATGTGATCTTGTTAATCAAATGACAACTCATGTCTATGGTTAGGAAACATAACCATCTTTAATCAACGAGCTAGTTAAGTAGAGGCATACTAGTGACACTCTGTTTGTCTATGTATTCACACATGTATTATGTTTCCGGTTAATACAATTCTAGCATGAATAATAAACATTTATCATGATATAAGGAAATATATAATAACTTTATTATTGCCTCTAGGGCATATTTCCTTCAGTCTCCCACTTGCACTAGAGTCAATAATCTAGTTCACATCGCCATGTGATTTAACATCAATAGTTTACATCACCATGTGATTAACACCCATAGTTCACATCAACATGTGACCAACACCCAAAGGGTTTACTAGAGTCAATAATCTAGTTCACATCGCTATGTGATTAACACCCAAAGAGTACTGAGGTGTGATCATGTTTTGCTTGTGAGAGAATTTTAGTCAACGGGTCTGCCACATTCAGATTCGTAAGTATTTTGCAAATTTCTATGTTAACAATGCTCTGCACAGAGCTACTCTAGCTAATTGCTCCCACTTTCAATATGTATCCAGATTGAGATTTACAGTCATCGGGATCGGTGTCAAAATTTGCATCGACGTAACCCTTTACGACGAACCTTTTGTCACTTCCATAATCGAGAAACATATCCTTATTCCACTAAGGATAATTTTGACCAATGTCCAGTGATCTACTCCTAGATCACTATTGTACTCCTTTGCCAAACTCAGGACAGGGTATACAATAGGTATGGTACACAGCATGGCATACTTTATAGAACCTATGGCTGAGGCATAGGGAATGACTTTCATTCTCTCTCTATATTCTGTCGTGGTCGGGTTTTGAGTCTTACTCAACTTCACACCTTGTAACACAGGCAAGAACTTCTTCTTTGACTGTTCTATTTTTAACTACTTCAAAATCTTGTCAAGGTATGTACTCATTGAAAAAACTTATCAAGCATCTTGATCTATCTCTATAGATCTTGATGCTTAATATGTAAGCAGCTTCACCGAGGTCTTTCTTTGAAAAACTCCTTTCAAATACTCCTTTATGCTTTGCAGAATAATTCTACATTATCTCCAATCAACAATATGTCTTCCACATATACTTATCAGAAATGTTGTAGTGCTCCCACTCACTTTCTTGTAAATACAGGCTTCACTGTAAGTCTGTATAAAACTATATGCTTTGATCAACTTATCAAAGCGTATATTCCAACTCCGAGATGCTTGCACTAGTCCATAGATGGATCGCTGGAGTTTGCATATTTTGTTAGTACCTTTAGGATTGACAAAACCTTCTGGTTGCATCATATACAACTCTTCTTTAATAAATCCATTAAGGAATGCAGTTTTGTTTATCCATTTGCCAGATTTCATAAAATGCGGCAATTGCTAACATGATTCAGACAGACTTAAGCATAGATACGAGTGAGAAGTTCTCATCGTAGTCAACACCTTGAACTTGTCGAAAACCTTTTTGCGACAATTCTAGCTTTGTAGATAGTAACACTACTATCAGCGTCCATCTTCCTCTTGAAGATCCATTTAATCTCAATGGCTCGCCGATCATTGGGCAAGTCAATCAAAGTCCATACTTTGTTCTCATACATGGATCTCATCTCAGATTTCATGGCCTCAAGCCATTTCGCGGAATCTGGGCTCATCATCGCTTCCTCATAGTTCGTAGGCTCGTCATGGTCAAGTAACATGACCTCCAGAACAGGATTACCGTACCACTCTGGTGCGGATATCACTCTGGTTTACCTACGAGGTTCGGTAGTAACTTGATCTTAAGTTACATGATCATCATCATTAGCTCCCTCACTAATTGGTGTAGTAGTCACAGGAACAGGTTTCTGTGATGAACTACTTTCCAATAAGGGAGCAGGTAAAGTTACCTCATCAAGTTCTACTTTCCTCCCACTCACTTCTTTCGAGAGAAACTCCTTCTCTAGAAAGGATCCATTCTCAGCAACGAATATCTTGCCTTCGGATCTGTGATAGAAGGTGTACCCAACATTTTCTTTTGGGTATCCTATGAAGACGCACTTCTCCGATTTGGGTTTGAGCTTATCAGGTTGAAACTTTTTCACATAAGCATTGCAACCTCAAACTTTAAGAAACAACATCTTAGGTTTCTTGCCAAACCATAGTTCATACGGTGTCATCTCAACGGATTTAGATGGTGCCCTATTTAACGTGAATGTAGCTGTCTCTAATGCATAACCCCAAAACGATAGCGGTAAATCAGTAAGAGATGTCATAGATCGCACCATATCTAATAAAGTACGGTTGCGACGTTCGGACACACCATTACATTGTGGTGTTCCAGGTGGCGTGAGTAGTGAAACTTTTTCACATTGTTTTAACTGAAGGACAAACTCGTAACTCAAATATTTACTTCTGCGATCATATCGTAGAAACTTTTATTTTTATTACGATGATTCTCCACTTCACTCTAAAATTCTTTGAACTTTTCAAATATTTCAGACTTGTGCTTCATCAAGTAGATATACTCATATATGCTCAAATCATCTGTGAAGATCAAAAAATAATGATACCTGCCACGACCCTCAATATTCATCGGACCACATACATCAGTATGTATGATTTCCAACAAATCTGTTGCTCGCTCCATTGTTCTGGAGAATGGAGTCTTAGTCATCTTGCCCATGAGGCATGGTTCGCAAGCATCAAGTGATTCATAATCAAGTGATTCCAAAAGTCCATCGGCATGGAGTTTCTTCATGCGTTTTACACCAATATGACCTAAACAGCAGTGCCACAAATAAGTTGCACTATCATTATTAACTTTGCATCTTTTGGTTTCAATATTATGAATATGTGTATCACTACGATCGAGATCCAACGAACCATTTTCATTGGGTGTGTAACCATATAAGATTTTATTCATGTAAACAGAACAACAACTTATTCTCTTACTTAAATGAATAACTGTATTGCAATAAACATGATCAAATCATATTCATGCTCAACGCAAACACCAAATAACACTTATTTAGGTTCAACACTAATCCCAAAAGTATAGGGAGTGTGCGATGATGATCATATCAATCTTTGAACCACTTCCAACACACATCGTCACTTCACCCTTAACTAGTCTCTGTTCATTCTGCAACTCCCGTTTCGAGTTACTACTCTTAGCAACTGAACCAGTATCAAATACCGGGGGGGGTTGCTATGAACACTAGTAAAATACACATCAATAATCCGTATATCAAATATACCTTTGTTCACTTTGCCATCCTTCTTATCCGCCAAATACTTGGGGCAGTTCTACTTCCAGTGACCAGTCCCTTTACAGTAGAAGCACTTAGTCTCAGGCTTAGGACCAGACTTGGGCTTCTTCACTTGATCAGCAACTTGCTTGCCGTTCTTCTTGAAGTTCCCCTTCTTCCCTTTGCCCTTTTCTTGAAACTAGTGGTCTTGTCTACCATCAACACTTGATATTTTTCTTGATTTCTACCTTCATTGATTTCAGCATTGCGAAGAGCATGGGAATCGTTTCTATTATCCCTTGCATATCATAGTTCATCACGAAATTCTACTAACTTGGTGATGGTGACTAGAGAATTCTGTCAATCACTATCTTATCTGGAAGATTAACTCCCACTTGATTCAAGCGATTGTAGTACCCAGACAATCTGAGCACATGCTCACTGTTTGAGCTATTCTCCTCCATCTTTTAGCTATAGAACTTGTTGGAGACTTCATATGTGCACTAAACTATCAAGTAGTCATCATATTGAGCTAGCCAAACATTCATAACGTCTGCATCTGCTCCTGCAATAGGTTTTGTCACCTAGCGGTGCATCAAGGACATAATTCTTCTGTGCAGCAATGAGGATAAACCTCAGATCACGGATCCAATCCGCATCTTTGCTACTAACATCTTTCAACTTAGTTTTCTCTAGGAACATATATAAAACATAGGGAAGCAACAACGCGAGCTATTGATCTACAACATAGATATGCTAATACTACCAGGACAAAGTTCATGATAAATTGAAGTTCAATTAATCATATTACTTAAGAACTCCCACTTAGATAGATATCCCTCTAATCCTCTAAGTGATCACGTGATCCAAATCAACTAAACCATGTCCGATCATCACGTGAGATGGAGTAGTTTCAACGGTGAACATCACTATGTTAATCATATCTACTATATGATTCACGCTCGACCTTTCGGTCTCCGTGTTCCAAGGCCATATCTGTTATATGCTAGGCTCGTCAAGTTTAACCTGAGTATTCCGCGTGTGCAACTGCTTTGCACCCGTTGTATTTGAACGTAGAGCCTATCACACCCGATCATCACGTGGTGTCTCAGCACGAAGAACTTTCGCAATGGTGCATACTCAGGGAGAACACTTATACTTTAATAATTTAGTGAGGGATCATCTTATAATGCTACCGTCAATCAAAGCAAGATAAGATGCATAAAAGATAAATATCACATGCAATCAATATAAGTGATATGATATGGCCATCATCATCTTGTGCTTGCGATCTCCATCTTCGAAGCACCGTCATGATCACCATCGTCACCGGCGCGACACCTTGATCACCATCATAGCATCATTGTCGTCTCGCCAATCTTATGCTTCCACGACTATCGCTACCGCTTAGTGATAAAGTAAAGCATTACATCGCAATTGCATTGCATACAATAAAGCGACAACCATATGGCTCCTGCCAGTTGCCGATAACTCGGTTACAAAACATGATCATCTCATACAATAAAATTTAGCATCATGTCTTGACCATATCACATCACAACATGCCCTGCAAAAACAAGTTAGACGTCCTCTACTTTGTTGTTGCAAGTTTTATGTGGCTGCTACGGGCTTAGCAAGAACCGTTCTTACCTACGCATCAAAACCACAACGATAGTTTGCCAAGTTGGTGCTGTTTTAACCTTCGCAAGGACCGGGCGTAGCCACACTTGGTTCAACTAAAGTTGGAGAAACTGACACCCGCCAGCCACCTGTGTGCAAAGCACGTCGGTAGAACCAGTCTCGCGTAAGCGTACACGTAATGTCGGTCCGGGACGCTTCATCCAACAATACCGCCGAACCAAAGTATGACATGCTGGTAAGCAGTATGACTTATATCGCCCATAACTCACTTGTGTTCTACTCGTGCACAACATCAACGCATAAAAGCTAGGCTCGGATGCCACTGTTGGGGAACGTAGTAATTTCAAAAAAAATCCTACGCACACGCAAGATCATGGTGATGCATAGCAACGAGAGGGGAGAGTGTTGTCTACGTACCCTCGTAGACCAGAAGCGGAAGCGTTAGCACAACGTGGTTGATGTAGTTGTACGTCTTCACGGCCCGACCGATCAAGCACCGAAACTACGGCACCTCCAAGTTCTAGCACACGTTCAGCTCGATGACGATCCCCGGACTCCGATCCAGCAAAGTGTCGGGGAAGAGTTCCATCAGCACGACGGCGTGGTGACGATCTTTATATTCTACCGTCGCAGGGCTTCGCCTAAGCACCGCTACAATATTATCGAGGATTATGGTGGAGGGGGGCACCGCACACGGCTAAGAGAACGATCACAAAGATCAACTTGTGTGTCTATGGGGTGCCCCCTGGCCACGTATATAAAGGAGTGGAGGAGGGGAGGGGCCGACCCTCTCTATGGCGCGCCCTAGGGGAGTCCTACTCCCACCGGGAGTAGGATTCCCCCTTTCCTAGTAGAACTAGGAGCCCTTCCAAGTAGTAGGAGTAGGAGGGAAGGAAAGGGAAGGGAAAAGGAGAAGGAAGGAAGGGGGCGCCCCCCTTCCCTAGTCCAATTCGGACCAGACCAAGGGGAGGGGTGCGGCCACCCTTGAGGCCCTTTTCCTTCTTTCCCATATGACCCAATAAGGCCCAATACGTATTCCCGTAACTCTCCGGTACTCCGAAAAATACCCGAATCACTCGGAACCTTTCCGATGTCCGAATATAGTCGTCCAATATATCGATCTTTACGTCTTGACCATTTCGAGACTCCTCGTCATATCCCCGATCTCATCCGGGACTCCGAACTCCTTCGGTACATCAAAACTCATAAACTCATAATATAACTGTCATCGAAACTTTAAACGTGCGGACCCTACAGGTTCGAGAACTATGTAGACATGACCGAGACACGTCTCCGGTCAATAACCAATAGCGGAACCTGGATGCTCATATTGGCTCCCACATATTCTACGAAGATCTTTATCGGTCAGACCGCATAACAACATACGTTGTTCCCTTTGTCATCGGTATGTCACTTGCCCAAGATTCAATCGTCGGTATCTCAATACCTAGTTCAATCTCGTTACCGGCAAGTCTCTTTACTCGTTCCGTAATACATCATCTCGCAACTAACTCATTAGTTGCAATGCTTGCAAGGCTTTAGGTGATGTGCATTACCGAGAGGGCCCAGAGATACCTCTCCGACAATCGGAGTGACAAATCCTAATCTCGAAATACGCCAACCCAACAAGTACCTTCAGAGACACCTGTAGAGCACCTTTATAATCACCCAGTTACGTTGTGACGTTTGGTGGCACACAAAGTGTTCCTCTGGTAAACCGGAGTTGCATAATCTCATAGTCATAGGAACATGTATAAGTCATGAAGAAAGCAATAGCAACAAATTTAACGATCAAGTGCTATGCTAACGGAATGGGTCAAGTCAATCACATCATTCTCCTAATGATGTGATCCCGTTAATCAAATGACAACTCATGTCTATGGTTAGGAAACATAACCATCTTTAATCAACGAGCTAGTTAAGTAGAGGCATACTAGTGACACTCTGTTTGTCTATGTATTCACACATGTATTACGTTTCCGGTTAATACAATTCTAGCATGAATAATAAACATTTATCATGATATAAGGAAATATATAATAACTTTATTATATGCCTCTAGGGCATATTTCCTTCACTAACATGGTCTGCAAGATTGTTTTTCAGTTCTTCGATGCTCAATTTTGACAGATGAACCATGGACATGCCATGTGTACCACCCAAATACTGCCACTCTGTACCATCATGGTGAAATTCCCCTCCGAAATGAAACCTGATTGAAAGATAATCCAAAGGATCCATGCCTCAAATATGCTCAAGAAAATGAAAAAAATTCTGAATAAATAAACCTGCTTTCAGTTCAATCATAACTAAATCAACCCTAAATACTCTAATCCGAGGGAAATCAGAGCAACAAAATAGTCATACATAAACTACAGAATCAAGCACTACATACATGGCAACAAGAAAAAGAAAAAACCCTAGATGATGTCGAAATCCCCCAAAATCACATCAACTCCAACCTAAAACAGAGAAGAAAGGAGGGATTTCAGCCGATACATACGGGTCTCCATATCGATGTGACTAACCTGTTGTCGCGCCGGAGAATGATGCTCTGTTCATGCCGTCAATGGCTCACCGCCAGACCTCGTCGCTGCCGTCAGAGGGAGATTGGAAAGGCGAACAGAGGAAGGGAGGCGAACAGGCAGGGAAGAGAGGGCGGCTGGGTCAAACCAGCTCGGGGGGGGTCATCTAGACCACACCCAAACCTGCCCCTATCGACGTGGCCGGTCGGTGGGCTCGTCCTGGCCTCCACGTAGGAAAAACAGCCCTTCCAAACCACTCGAGATGGGTCTAGGGGGTGTTTTGTCTGGTTTGACATAGTTCAGGGGATTAAGTCTCTGGTTTTAGACGTGTGGGGGTTATCTGTCCCTTAACTGATAGTTCTGGGGGGGTATCTATACTTTTTTCCTGGAAAGGGCGATGCCACGGGCGTGGGGATTGCACAAGGAGGCAAAGTTCAAGGATATCGGGAATAACATCTTTGAGGTGAGGTTTGGCAGCGAAGGTGATTGGCGTCATGCACTCAATAATGGCCCGTGGCAATTTGACTTCCATGTGCTCGTGTTAAAGGATTATGTGGGAGATGTTCGTCCTTCTGAGATGGTCTTTGATACGGTGGAGATGTGGGTGAGAGTCCCGGATCTGCCATTAGATATGAGGACGAAATCATTTGGAAAAGCTTTGGGAGATTGGTTGGGAGAAGTGGTGAAAGTAGATGTTGAGAAGGATGGCTTTGCTAAAGGGAAGTATCTTAGAGTGCGGGCTAAAATCTCGATCTTTGAGCCCTTGATCCATCGTGCCCGGCTAAGGACCTCACTGGAGGACTTGGAGGGGACGTGGTGTGATTTTACCTACGAAAAGATCCCGCATTTTTGCTTTGATTGTGGTAGACTTGTGCATGGTAAGGGTGTGTGTGAGGCGCCAGTGGATCGCTCAAGTCGATGGGGCCTCTGGCTTAGAGCTTCACCAGGAAGGGGTTCTTCATCGCTGAAGGAGAATTCGCATGTTGGGGCGTCCAGTTCTTTTACTGGTGGGGGCTCACGTTCTGATGACAAGGATAAATCGAAGTACAGTAAAGCTTCTGCTCGGGAACAACTTGTTAAAAGGAACTTAAACGCGACGTTTTCACAATCGGCTAACTCTTGCACTGGCGGAGTAACGCCGAAGGAGCAGAGGGAGGTGAACAGCCCAACAAAGAGAGCTTCACACATGGATGATATGCACAGCAGTGATCTGAGGAGGAAGTTGGAGCAGAAAAAAGAAAAAGAGCTAAGGGCTGAATTGACTAGACGGCAAGAAGAAGGGAGGAGTGGTTCTCCACGTCGGGAACAGGGCCATACAACCACTAAACCAGACGTGCGGCAGCGCGGGTCGGCTACCGATGGGGCCTGGCGCCATGCAGGTGCGTATCGCGAGGCGAACAGCCATGTAGATCGTGGGGCGGAGGCGAGGCACCGTTCGGCTTCCCATGTAGATGATCGGCTGGACCGGGCTGGTCGCGATGATTATTTCAGCCGTGTTTCGCCAGGGCAGAGAGACAGGATTCGAGGTAGATATATCCGCAGGCCAAGGTACCTGGGCGAAATGGAGAGAGGCTCACACCAGGTTTATAGAGAGAAGGAGTCAGGAAGAAAGCGTCCCCCAAAACAGGTGTGGGTAGCCAAAGGTGACCCGGATAGAACGGTACATCATGATACGTTCATTAGAGAGACGAGGCAGAAGACAACTTCTGTTTTTGATTGTATGGAAGACTCTAAGGCATCGGCGGACCTCGCAGGGCGGGGCCGCCGGGACCAATGAATTGCTTGGCCTAGAACTGTCGAGGACTGGGGTTGGACTCGACAGTAGGCGAACTTCGGGACCTCATACAGTCACACAACCCAGTGGTGGTTTTCTTATCAGAAACAAAAAAGAGTGCGAAGGCTTTGGAGAGATTGAAGTGGAGACTTGGTTTCAGAAGCGGAGTGGCTGTGGATTGTAATGGGAGGAGTGGAGGACTTGCATTATGGTGGAGAGAGCATATACAAGTCACTATCAGGCCATGGTGCCCGTACTTTATTGATGCTGAGATTACCTCGGATGGGCAAACTTGGAGATTCACTGGAATCTATGGGGAGCCCAAAACGGAGTTGAGGAAGAAGACTTGGGATGCGATTAGATACTTAAGGTCCCAGGATGAGCTACCATGGCTATGTGTGGGGGGCTTTAATGAAGTCCTTGTAAGATCAGAACAAAGTGGCGGCAACCCGAGGAGTTTTGCCCAAATGCAGGCGTTCAATGACTGCCTAACTGACTGCGGTTTGGCGGACTTGGGCTTCTCGGGCTATCAGTTTACATGGGACAATAAACAAGCAAACCAGGACAATGTTCAAGTCAGGTTAGATAGGGCAACCTGCACCGGTGATTTTATGGGTTTGTTTCCGGGCACGGCCGTGGAGAACATTCTCACGGAGGAATCTGATCACATGGCAATCCTGGTGCGAGTTCGGGATATGGAGACAATGCAACCGAGGGGGGACCGCCCCTTTCGGTTCGAGGAAATGTGGCTGCGGCACGAGGGCTATGAGGCGATGATGCAGCGGACATGGGAGCAAGTGCGGGGGCGGAACAAGTCTCCCAGACAGGTGTGTGGCAGGCTACATGAAATAACAAAGTCGCTGCGCGGATGGGGGCGCATGGTGTTTGGGTCAATTAGGAGGCAAATTCAAAGGCTAAAAACAGACTTCTTGGATGCAAAAGAGCGAGCCTTAGTCACTGGACTAACGGCGGAAGTGCGCGAGATTGAGGGTCAGCTAAAGGAAGTTTATGAAAGGGAGGAGATTATGCAGAAACAACGCTCACGTGTAGACTGGCTCAAGGCGGGGGACCGGAATACCCAATATTTCCAGAACCGAGCCTCCCATCATAAGAGAAAGAACACGGTGAAGTCGTTGCGGTGGGAAAATGGTACGAGGTGTACGGATAATGATGGCATGCGGGAGCTGGCGGCTTCATTCTATGAGCACCTATTCGCATCAAAGGGATCCACCCAGCCAGAGAGGCTACTAGATCTTTTTCACCCTGTCATTTCTGAGGATATGAATGGTAAGCTGACAGCGCCTATTTTAGATGATGAGATTGAGCGGGCACTGTTTCAGATGGGGCCTACGAAAGCTCCCGGACCGGATGGCCTACCTGCCTTGTTTTATCAGAGACACCGGTCTCTGTTAAAAGAGGACGTGTGTGCAGCAGTTAGGGGGTTTCTGTCAGGGGAAGCTACTCCGGATTCGTTTAATGACACTGTGATAGTGATGATACCGAAAGTTAGCTCACCAGAGCTGATGTCTCAGTTTAGGCCAATAAGTTTGTGTAATGTGCTCTATAAGATTGCTACTAAAGTTTTGGCTAATAGGCTCAAGAGGATCTTACCGGTGTTGATTTCTGAGGAACAGAGCGCCTTTGTACCAGGGAGGCTCATGACAGATAATATTTTAGTGGCCTATGAGTGCACCAATGCCATTAGAACGAGGAAGAGGAAGACTCCGTTGTGTGCAGTGAAGCTAGATATGATGAAGGCGTATGATCGAGTTGAATGGATCTTCTTAGAGCATATGTTGGTTAGATTTGGTTTCGATCAAAGGTGGGTTCAGATGATTATGCGATGTGTCACCTCGGCGCGTTTTTCTGTGAAACTTACGGTGGCTTCTCGAGACCTTTCCTCCCATCCAGAGGACTACGACAGGGTGATCCTCTTTCGCCATACCTTTTCCTATTTTGTGTGGAAGGTTTTTTTTGCTCTACTAAGGGCTACACAGAATGAGAATAATCTCAAGGGGGTGTCATTTGGGAGCACTGGCCCCCATGTCACTCACCTTCTATTCACGGACGATAGTATTGTCTTTCTGGAGGGGAACCGCGGCAGTTTTGAGGCGTTGGGGGACATACTTAGAGTTTATGAGGAAGCCTCGGGACAAAAGGTAAATCTTCAAAAGTCTTCAGTGTTCTTTGGTAAAGGATGTAGGGATGCAAGTAAGGCTGAATTGCTTGGGGTTATTGGCATCAACTCTGAAGCTTTGAGTGAAAGGTATTTAGGACTGCCGACACTGGTTGGGAAGTCCAAAGAGGGGACTTTTAAATATGTTAAAGAGAGCTCTGCGGGGAAAGTAACAGGATGGAAGGGGCAAGGGCTGTCAAAAGCGGCAAGGGAGGTCCTAGTCAAGTCGGGACTCCAAGCCACACCAACTCTCACTATGAGCTGCTTCCAACTCACCAAGAAAATGTGCCGGAACCTGACTTCTATTTCGTCTAACTTCTGGTGGGGAGAAGCAAATGGGGAGAGGAAGGTGCACTGGCTTGCATGGAAAAAGATGTGTAGGGCTAAGAAAGAAGGAGGAATGGGCTTTCGGGATCCAGAAGCTTTTAACCAAGCTCTGCTGGCCAAACAAGCCTGTCGCGTGCTGCAGTACCCAGATTCTTTGTGTGCTAGGGTGCTCAAGGCAAGGTATTTCCCCCATGGATCAATCTTGAATGCCACCTGCCCTGCTGGCGGCTCGTTCACTTTCAGAAGTATTATTCATGGTCGGGAGCTGTTGCGTGAGGGACTAGTGTGGAGGATTGGAGATGGCACATCGATAAAAATCCACCATGATAACTGGCTCCTGCGCCAGGGAAGCCTTAAGCCACTTGGGCAGCAGTACATTGCAGGGATCACTCATGTGCGCCACCCTGAATGAATCCGGTGTTGCATGGGACATGGCTAAGGTGGAAATGATGTTTACTCCTGGGGATGTGGAGGATATAAAGCAGATTGTGATAGGTGGGCCGAATATGAGGGAGTATGCGGCATGGAACTTCACCAATAATGGACAATTTTTAGTCAAGTCGGCATATCATCTTCGCATGAGTTTGAATGGTGTCAAGACCGGACAGTCGGGTTCTTCGATGCCAAGAAGGGAGCATAAATCATGGATGGCGATGTGGGACACTAACGCTCCGGGGAAGGCAAAGATCCATGCATGGCGCCTCTTGAAGAACGGGATGGCTGTTGGCTCCGAGCTCCATCGGCGTCGAATAAAGTCGGGCGTGTTTTGTTGTGCATGTGGACGCGAAGAGACGACGTATCACCGGTTCTGGGAGTGCCCTCATTCAGCGATGTTTTGGAAATACCTGTGTGAAGACAAGGGCGAGTCGGTGATGCTGCCGCCGATGATGGATGGCTCACTTAACAGCTTGGTTTCTTGGCTGAAGGGCTGGTTTGCCGACGCGGGAGCAGCAGAAAGAGAGACGATGATTCATGCCCTCTATGGTCTATGGTGCGCAAGGAATGAAACGCGCGATGGGAAAAGAATCCAGGACGCTGGTGAGCTAGCTTAGAAAGTGCACGCACATATACAAGAGTGGCGCCAAGTTCATATGGAGGAGCGGAACACCAAGGAAACAAGGAGACCGGACAAGTGGAAGCCGCCGGAGCCTGGGTGGATCAAGGCGAATGCCGACGGAGCTATGGCGAGGGCACATGACCGGGGGGGGGGGAGGAGGCGTGGTCCTAAGGGATCACCACGGTGCTTTCAGGGGAGGGACTTCTATCTTCTTCCCGAGCATCACTACTCCACTTCTTGCAGAGATTCTAGCGGCTAGAAGTGCTGTGCAGTTGGCACTAGACATGGACGTTCAGCGCCTTCATGTGGAGCTGGATAATCAGGAGGTGGTGACAATGCTGAATGAAGAACGAAGGAACCTCTCCACCTTTGGTCCGGTCGTGGAAGAGATAAAGGAGATGTTGAGGTTGCGACACGAGTTTAGAGTTAGCTGGGTTCGGCGCTTGGCTAATGGAGCAGCGCATGGGTTAGCAAGAGAGGGGGTGTGTGATGAGGTGTCTAGCGTTTATGAATTTCCTCCGGATTGTATTATTCAGGTTGTAGTGGATGAGATCCCGAACTTTGTTTAAGTTTTAAATAAATGCAAGTTCCCCTCAAAAAAAAAAACAAGTCGATGCCGATGCACCTGTGCCATTTACAGTGTTCGACATCTGATCAATGGTGTCCCGATTGCAATTTTACCCTAGCGCCACATTTACTGTCTTACTGACACAGTGGAACAGCAACAAGCTCAAGCTGGCCCTAGTCTAGAAGCAGTTTGCAACCACACCAACCTAGTTCCCACCACCTTGCCCTCCCTCTGGGCTCCTTACCCTCCTCTGCTTTGCTGAACTCTCGGCAGCTTCGCCCTGCGCCTTGCGCTTCTCCCATGAGCCATTATTGGTGAGGAAGAAGTCTTTGACCTGACGGGCAATCTTGTCATCCCCTGAATATGAGATCTTCACCTTCAGGTTGTTGTAAGTACATGATGTTTCACTTGGATCGGTGTTATCTCTGCTGTTGCAGGCCTTCTATAGAACAATGAACCAGTGTAAAGGATTGGCCACATGCTTAAACTCTCGTAGCAAACATTCATCAAAGTTATACATTGTACGTACCTTGTCGAGATGAATGAAAATGTTCTCTAAGTTGGGAGATTTCTCAAGCATGGTTGATAATGCATTAAACTCGCTATCTATACACCATTCACCGAGGGATAGAGTCCTCAGGTTTTCGAACACAGGGCAGTTCTCCAGTTCCGTCGTCAGCAGAACCTGCACATTAGTGTTGAAGTTGGTACTGATGGTCCACTGACATGTGACATCTAGCATATTGTCTACCGACTAGAAAATAACCAACCAAGCTAGTTCTATGGCATTCCATATTTAAGATATCACGTAGGACACCAAAAACCAGACAGTAAGCAAAGTTCAAAAAGCCACAGAGACTAGTGGTTGAAACCTTTGTAGAGATAAGATGTTAAGACTGTGAAGGTAGTAACTTCAATGTTCTTTTTTCTTGCAGCAGGCAACTATCCAATAGGCTGATCCACTGGTAAAATGATACTAGGTCATGCTAAAGCTGATATTTGAGTGGTCAATGTCTCAACGATGTAATTTCAGCTCTTCATCTAGACAAATTCATAATGACTTGAGAGATTCACCACCAGAAGAAGAAATACCAAAATGTTATTCACACATTGTTGCATTACATTTCAAGATGGTACTCTAGCCTCTTACCTCCTTCCCATGCAGAAAGCATAAAAGAACGAGAAGGTGATAGTATCAGCAACATGAATAAACGTACCTCTCCTCGATGAGCTGACAAGTTCATTGTTCTCACATTCGAGAGGCTGTGAAAAATACGTTTGCCACCATAAACTACAATATCACCGCTTCCAGGATGCTCACAATCCCTTGCATGCTCATCAGCAACTGCACAGCTATCATCATCAGATTGAGTTTGAGATTCACTGACGTCAGAGTCCTCAGCATCAGTATATGTGTCGCCATCGTCCTCATCATCCTGTACTGACCATGGGCGAGCATGTTGCAAGCAAGCGTCATCAAGCATGATAGTGGCTGCCACTAGTGACCCCGAGTTCTTGATCTGAGGAACAAAACTGCAAGGTCTGATGCAGCGCAGGGCTGCAAGATTCGAAGCATCAACCGTGAGGTCGTTAAAGATTTTGCAGTTGACCATGGTCAAACGCTTGAGTGAGGTTGATCGAATCTCCGTGGCATATATGAGAGCTTTCCTGAGCTCTAGTTCTTCCAAAGAAGTACACCTAGAACAGAGCCCCGAGAGGGAGCGGCTGTCCAAGGACACGTTGGCGAGCTGCAAGATGTTGAGGTTGCCAGAAAGGAAGACCGTGCATTCCAGCTTGAGGATTGGGCGGTGATGCTTCGCGGATAGCTGGATAGCTGTGGCATTGTGCCTGAGAGCATGAACGATCCACGTGTTGGCGTCGTCGTGGTTCCAGTGCAGCCGGAGCGTGTTCAACGACTTGCGGTCCCGCCGGAGAAGCAGGTGCTTGACGAACTCGGCGTACCAATCCTGGTCAACGCGGCGGGAGCAGGCGCACAGCCGGCGGATGTCGAGGCACGGCGCGGAGGCCCAGGTGCGGCGCCACCGCCTGGCGAGCGCGCTCGTGCGGACCACCTCCCACGCCTTCATGTAGGAGAAGACGTGGTGGCACAGGTCGTCCGTGAGGTCGCTGATGCGGTCGCGCCCCCCTGAAGCATTTTCTCGAACAGGTTGCCTGCACGGACAACGACGATCAGCTTCATCAACCCGCACGGGGAAAGAAAATCTTGGCAAACGCGCAGCAAGAAACCAAGAAGAGCTAGCGATGCTGCATTGCGACGAACGGACTCGAGATCGGAACAAGAACTCGTTAGGATTATGGTCCCTCGCATGGCCGGCAGCGGAAGGGAGGAGAAGAACTTACGGGGTGGTTGAGGCTGGCTGGATGAAATCGGCCGACGGGCGGGCGTTCTCGGCTCTCGCTGCTTAGAGCATCTCCAACAACAGCCGCGCTAACCACCGCATGCAAAAAGTCTGTTTACCGGGTGCGCTGGGGTTGATTTTGCGCGTTCGCCTGCGCTGGCTCCAATAGCCGTGCTATAATGCAGCGCGCGCCGCTCTAATAGAACGCAAAAATACAGCACGCGCGACTCGCCGGGCATTTTGCGTATATGATATTTTGAACAAAAATAAACATGTGAAATTTGACACAAACAAGTTGATGAATAAAAGTTCATGCCCACAAGTTCAAAATCATGCTCACAAGTTCATCCAACCAAGTCCAAATGCAAACTAAAGTTCAAGACATGAAAGACACATCAATCTTCATCTTCCTCGTCTTTTTCGCCTCTGAAGACGAATCTTCCTCCCTCTCCTCATCACGCACCGCATCATGTGAAGCTCCGACGGTGTTGGCAAGATCTTCAACGGCATCTTCATGGGAATGTGTGTGAGAAGGCACATCGAAAGACATTGCACCCATGGCGGCCGGAGGTGCACCCATGCCTCCCATGAAAGAAGCAAAACCCATGCCTCCCATGGCGGCCATAGCGCCGGAGGGTGCTCCAAAGCCACCCATGCCTCCCATGGCGGCCGGAGGTGCACCCATGCCTCCCATGGCGGCCGGAGGTGCACCCATGCCTCCCATGGCGGTCGGATGTGCACCCATGCCTCACATGGCTCCGAAGCCACCCATGCCTCCCATGGCGCCGAGGCCACCGCCACCCATGGCGCCGAAGCCACCGCCACCCATTGCACGAACCAAGGCCTTTTTTGGATCAAGACATCTTGTTGGGCAAGATTGACATACTCTTTTTGCGCCGCATTGAGGTTATATGTGTCCAAGAAGAACAAATGCTTCTCCCATTCTAACAACTTAGCTCGCCCCTCGTTGCTCACTTTCCTCTCCTCCAAAGCCACCTTTCTCTCCTCGGCCGACACCCTTCTCTCCTCGGCTGCCAACCTCCTCTCCTCGGCCACGGCATCTTGGTTCCTTGCCATTTTCCTCACCTCATTGGCTTCGACCCTTGCCTTCACAATAGCTTCCATAGCATTTTTGAGCTCATCATCTCATTTCCTCTTCTTCTTTTCGGTTTTGTGTTTCTTGCACCCATCCGGTCGTTTTGGCTTCGAGTATGAAACCGAGTTGGGTGTGGGGCTTCTCTTGCCATCATCACTTGATCCATCATCCTCCTCCTCATCATCATTCATCTCAATTGCTCGCTTCCGTTTATTGCTCAAATGCAAATCCTCCAAACCATCACCCTTCTTCCATTTCTCATCATCCTTTAACACTTCATAGCAATGAGGTAAGGTAAAGACCCTGCCTTTCTTGATCTTCCCCTTCTTGGTTGTCCTTGTCTCTTCTTTGAACAAGTTTTGTGCAATGTTGTACTACAAGAAAAACAAAACAAGTTAGCACTTCGGTCACCAAAAACAAGTATGATGAACATATATGAGATGCCACTTACTCGATCATCCTCATTTGTGCCACTTGGGTTAATCTTGTCAACTGCCTTTTGTACGGCCGCCCACTTTTGACAATCCGAGTTGATTGTCGACCATCGGGACCGAAGTGATCTCTCGGAGCGGTCAATTTCACTCAAGTTGTGAGCATCAAAGTGTTCTTTTATTCGCCCCAATACACGTCTCTACTTTGATCACCTCCAATGGATGGATCCCTCGACACTTGCAAATAAGTATGGCATAGTAACTTGTCATCGTTGGTTGAGTAATTGCCCGCTCTTTCTTTCGGCGCCTCGACAATTCCCTCACCCTCCTCGTCCACCTCAAACTCATGGTCTTCGAAATGGATGTCATTGGTTTGAGACCAATGCGAATTGTTGGACCCAACACCCATAGTGGACATGAATGCATCATGGTAGAGACTACAAAGTTTTTTGAACAATGCAAATAAGCTATCTATATGTGATGATGATGCATTGAAAAAATAAGAAGAAAAGAAAAGTTGGAAATTTTTTCACCTTAGGGGCATTTCGTCGAACACGTGGTGCGCGTCGGCGGCCGGCTCAACGAGTGAGCTCGCCGGTGCTTCGGTAGCCGCCGCGGCCGTCGAACGCCCTGCAAGCTTCTTTCCCCTCGCCTTCGTGGTGCCGGAGCCGTCCGACGCCTTGTTTTTCTTCGCGGATGTTTTGCCCTTCTTCGTTCGCGCCGCATTGGGGACCTTCTTCGACGGTGCGGCGGCGGCACGGGACGGCGCCGGCGCGAAGCCACCCGGCGCCGTGGTCATCCGCGGCGGCAAGAAGAGGCTGCGCGCGAGGTCAACGCTCGGCGGAGCTCCGGCGGTGGCGACGCCAACGCTTCCCGCG